ACATTAACAGCTACACTAACACTGTTAAATATTTGAATAACAATCTTCAAAAATACTAAAAGTTGTAGTTACTATTCAAATTAAGAAAAAATCGACAGAACTAGAGAGTTCCTTCTTACGTCAGGTTCTACGTGGTCAATGTAGCTCAATAAATTAAAAGAAACACACTTATCTCTTTCATTGAGCCACTGGTTAGGTAACGTTTGAGACGTAATGTAGAAAACTAAGCAATGTTCCTAATAATACATCTGTTAACGTACCTTAGTTGTATCCATTTAGCACTTTTTCGACAAAATAAATAATTCCAAAAATATGTCGAAGTGAAAGTGCATATCATTGGATATCTGTCACTGTTTCTCCACTGAGGTAGATAATTGTTGTAGTATTCACCAAAACGGCTAATAATCAGATCTAAAAGGGCGGATGAGGACAGTTCCTGCGCAATTTAAAACCGGTGGATAGTCTGGAACATCACTCATCGTTGGTGAAACAAACGCTACATTTGGCAGTCCAGAAGTCTCTGATTTCGGACCCCTTAAACAGTTAAGTCAGCATGGCACAAGAAGCGTGCAGTATGTTGCTTAGCAACTTCGGTCAGGACAACGCACGCTCAACACGGACTCATCACGCGTTATTAGCTAGAGCGCGTGACAAAAATGCCACACATAAATTACCATAATCGTGGAAATCTTTGAACTTTGCAGTCTTGCGCATTCTACTGCTCTTCAGGGGCATTAATGTAGCTTACATCAAAATTGTTCAGATCAATAGAAATCTGAAAACAGAGAAACAAATCAGGTTCAGTGATACAACGAAACGTTCTTCATCACTTTAAAATATGTTGCAAGTTCTGTTTACAATTTTTCTTGTTTTCCTGTTTGTCAGGATTGTTTTAAGTTTGCTAAAACATCTATTATTTTATTTAAAACTCCCTCATACAAAACTGAATTGAGTGATACCGTAATTGAATGATTCGATTCAAAGGGCTATCATTTAACTCTGTGAGCTTAGGAAACATATGTTATTGACCAAGTGTGAGGTCAAGATGGCTGGATATTAGCCAAGTTCTTTTTTTGCGTGTTTATGGACCGAGACGGAGTCAAGAACGAGGCTAAAATCCAGCCACCTTGACCGAACAAGCTTGGTCAATAAAGAATTTATTATATGCTATGGCTTTCGTGGAAATTTTTCTGGCTGGACACAGTGGGTAGTCCCGAGCGGGCCAGATAGCGCCATCTCGCCCGCTCGGGTAGCCAATCACAGTGCAGGATTTGGTTCATCTTGCTTATTGGAGACAAGACGTTTATTTGGGATGGGACTGTCAGCATTTTAAATTGTTCATCGTTTTACAACATTCAGTTTGACTGTCAAACCGATACATCTTGTATCGTTTCCTTGCTTCAGTGATACTCACCTTCTGTGCAGTCATTAGTCTGTGCAGAGTTTTTCCTAACTCCAGGAATGTCGGTCTGGATTCAGGGTCCTCTTGCCAACATTCCCACATGATGGCATATCTACAATTCAATTCGTTATTTACACTATAAAGGGCTTTCACACACATTTTACAAGGTATTGTAATGAAAATAGTAAAATATTAAAAGATATTTAAAAGCTGTAAAGAATAAAATTCATATGTGAGCAGTGACCATAGTAGCAAGAGCTTTCTGGTTGGACACCGCCATGGTCAAGTTAATGGCAGCAAAAAAAAAAAGGTAAAAAAGTGTAGGAAATTTATAACGTCCCTTCTGGATGAAGAACAAAATTTTAGTCGGTCGCGCATTAGTTAGTAAAGAACACTTACAGTTCATCAGTGCAGTACTGTGGTTTTGGCATTCGGTAACCGATATGCAGCTGACCAATGACTTGATCTCTTGTCATGCCTGGGTAGGGATTGGCTCCTGAAATAAAAAAAA